CCAATCCTTTTTGGACTTTTTGAGATACACATATAAATGCAAGCATGTGGGGAATGAAAGGGAGAAGCCTTTGCATGTTGGTAATGGATATGATCCAACTATCTCAGTAGGATTATCTCAGGTGGGGAGAAGTAGGGTATTCATAATCAGCAATATGAAATAGAGGCCAGGGTAAGGAGCTTGAAGAACAAAAAGTCAGAAAGAATGGCTATTAAACCCTGTTTTTACTTTTAGAGCACACTCCCATATTTTTGTTCACCTTTTAGAGAAAATGAAACATAGTTTTATTAGTATAACAAGACCACAAAAAAAAAAAAAAAAAAAAAAAGGAAAGGAAAAGAAGTGGGTGCAAAGCTCTCTTATGTTACCACTCTCACATGGTCACCAGCAGCCTTACTTTGTTCCCCTTTCATCTATTATGCTGTTTCATCTACACAGACCCCTCCAAGCTTTAGTTTCCCAGAGTATTTTGAGTACTTCAAGTATTATTCTTTGTCTGGTAGTATGTAGAAATAAAGCTTATATTTATATATATATATATATATATATATATGTGCATGATTGGGTGGGCTCTTGCTTTTTCATTGTTAGGGAATGGGCTTTAGTACTGGGCAGCCATGGCTATGATATACCAAGGCTGTGGCTCACAATGATAGAAGCCCCCCCCCCCCCCCAAATCCAAGTAGACCAAATGGGAACACTCTATTATAGAGCCCCATGGTGGCCTTGCCTAATGGGAGCTTTGCCTTATATTATTATTTTAAAAAAAGTTACATTTTCTATGTTTTTTAATTCTTCCTCACATTCCTTAGTAGTGTAGTGCAGCACCAATTGAGCCTTTTTATCTATTTGCATATTTATTTAATTTTTTTGCTTTAGTCATAGCTGCACTTCATTATTCAACACAACACCAATGCAGATATTTTGTTCTGTATTTTGTTATTAATGTATTTTTGTTATTGGTGCTGATGTTGGGGCTTTAAGCCCACTTTTGCACTGTGTAGTCTCTTTTGCATTGTACCATTTCACATTACATGGGTGGTTTTGTCACACAAAAGAGTGGTTTTGTATGTCATTAATTTTTATGAAATTTTCATATCTGAGATTTTGTGTAGATTTTTTTTTACTTAAAGAATTGAATACCTATGTTGCATGATTGATTCATTTTGTTAGTAACTTTTCCTTTATAACCATTTTTTTGGTTAAGTTGGGTGATTTGATCGAATTTATTGTAAGAAATGATAAGCAGTTTCTTTGTTTTGATTTTTGATTTTTTAAATTTTGTTTTTCCCTTCCTGTACATTTGTTGGAAGGGGTTACACAGCCTTCATGTAATGCATATCAAGGTTACACAATAGTATTGAGTTAAGAAGTTGGTGCTTCATAAAAAAAAAAGTTTGGTGGATTGATTTAAGTTACTAGAAGTATCACATTTTGAAAATACGAACATTGGAATATTTTTGCAATTTGGAGTACTGGATTAAACAAAGCTCTGAAAGGATGTTTATGATTTGAAAATTTACTTGCGTCAAAATCCAGTTAATGTTTTCTAAAACGTTTGACAACTCAATGAACTGGAAGTCTAAAGTTTGTAGATTTGGATTCAAAACTTTCTAATTTTATTTCAATATAATGAATTACGATTGTATCATATACAATCGTATGTCATTTTTTTGAATTATAAACAAGAATAGATTTTATGCAATTTATTGCAATATTTAAACTTGTTTTTGTATGTTAAAAAATATTCAATCAGTTGATTATCTCAGAGATTGGTACACACTTTTAAAATGCTGCTGATAATAAATTTGTAAATTGATTATTATTCAGGTTTCTAAAGTACATTTTAGATGAAAATTTCAAAATCTTTTTGACTACACTACCAACCTCCACTAAAATCATTGAAATTTGCGTATTAGGTTTAAAGGTACTACAGCATGATTGTTGTACAAGTTTTAAAAGTAGATGGAATGGATGTTGAAAATGTCATTTAATTTAAGTTTTTAAACATTTAAATTCCTTAAGAATACCTTTGTGTCATTGAAAGTCTGATGAATCCAAAAAAAACCAAAAGAAGAAGAAGAAGAAGTAGTAGTAGTAGTAGTAGACAAAAAGTTTCTTGTTCAAAAGAAAACATAGAGATTTTTCGACAATGAATACATGTTTTTGAAAACTTTCAATAGATTTTTCCTTTTTACATATATACAATACTTTTTTATGTATAAGGAGTTTAATCAAATGTCTAATATATGGTAATTTGTTTTGCATAATATTGCTCAACACTGTAATTGTTGGTAACAGAGAAAAAATTACTCTGAATGAATTAAAAATAAATTGATATTCAATTTTTAAATTTAAATTTATTTTAGAAGTAGTTTTATTTGAGCTATGCTCAAAATTTGAATTTTGGATAGAAGTTTTTACAAGACATGTACTTACATCTACATGGATATTTTATTATGCTTAAAGGTAACTGGTTTAATATGTGATTATAGATTTCTGACTAATGATATAAACAAGTAATTTTGACTACCTTTTATGATTAACACTTTAATAATGTTTGGATCTTGTGAAACCACTACAACATAAGTTTCTGCAAAGTGTTAGCATATCATTGTAGGCAGACAAGTAAGACACTTATCTTATCCATTTAAGAAAAAATCATGTCTTTTTATAATGTATCTTAATAATCATGTTTCTTTATTTTATTTTATATTTATATAAGGATTTACTTATGATAAATTAAGAATTCTAAATGAGTCCTTTAATTTGCATCATCTCTATATTTACTTTTAATTGTATTAACTTTGTATATCAAATCTATCTATGTATCTAATAAGTTACAATTCTGAGTAAATATCAAGTTACATATTTGTGTGTGTGTATGTATGTATGTATATATATATATATATATATATATATATATATATTAAATTAAAACCAATTGAAATTTTATTGAATTAAAGTATTATAAGTATGTAAAATGGTGATATGTTCAGCATTTTTTAAAAGTTGTCACTAAATTTTTTATGCCAGAAATATTCTTTAAATTGAAACTTTATGTATTTACCTACAAACATACATACATACGTGTTTGTAATGCTTGCAAGCTTCATCATTTATTTAAAACACAGATATTAAGTGTGTGTCAAAAGTCATGGCATAATTCATGTAAAGAGAAAAAAAAAAGTAACAACAATAATTTACCATGTACATACAAGAAATGATCGCAAAATGATTCCAATGTTGATTGAATATATGAGCACTGTTGTTTTGTGCATCGACATTTGCGTATAATTCTTACCCTAATTACAACATCGCCACAAGCTATCACTCTGCTGTTGCACAATCAGACACCAACCCCAACCCAAACTGAAAAAACCAGAACTACGAAGCCACCACACTTCAACTGAGGAGCATACATGCCGAGTGAATCGATCTATCCATCTATCTATCTATCTATCTATCAATTTGTGTATGAAAGAGCAGTGGAAGCAGGAGTAGGAGATCGGCGAGGAGGCGAGTTTTTGTGCGGGGTTGAGCGAGCATCGCATCGCAACTGCAGCTCCGAGGTGAAAGATGTCCTCACCCTGCAACCCAATTATTGAAGCAAGCAAGCACGCAGGCAGCAGGCTTGCAGGCAGGCATGCACAGGCAGATGTGGAGCTTTGATGACGACCAGGAGTCGAATTGGGAAATGGGCCCAACTCTCGTTCTGACACACATGTCCTTGACAGACAGACAGACCTTGACAGACAGACAGACAGACAGACAGACTCTCACTCACCCACTACCACACTCACACACACACACACCTGCATTCGCTTACTCCCTTCCTCCCTTGCATTGCTTGGGGGCGTTACCGCTGCCGGAGGCCTGAGATTCATCGCCGGCAGGGTCGAAGCCGTGTCGTGGCTCTGGAATGAGATGCGGTCTTCACCTCGACGTATAATTCCACACTATTCCACATTTTTACCTGAAGGGTTGATTCTAAATCTCAGGTAGTTTATTAACCGCAATCCTGTAGGGAATATATTTCGTAATGCGAGGATAAGGAGTTTGGTATGCCACTTCACAAGTTTAGAAATCAGGTGAGGTGTGCTGGGTAGATTGTTTTGTGAGACGCGTTGATATTCTGAATGAATGGACTCGGAAAAGTTGCCTAATACACGATATTGTGCAAAAATTGTTTTTTTCTTGTTTTTTTGTTTTTTTTGTTTAAATTAAAAATATACCATTATTTTAGAAGTGCTCAGTGATGTGGAGCTTGATGATGCAACATGCTACAATTCGAGGAGCACGCCCCTTCTCTTCCATTGTCATCCGTCTTCATTCAGTACATATATCATATTTCACGCCTTCGTTGTATTTTAACTTGGCACAGATCCCCTATCATTTACCCAATAGTTTAACCACACACAATCATGACAGGAACGGGAACAAAAGCACATGATGCAGCCCACAGCAATTATTTGAAAGCCACAGTGCGTTCGCTTTGTAGGCAATTTTCCCATATTTTACAAACTGGATAACATGGTTAATTATCCGAGATTTTCTTAGACAAGAAAACATCGAAACGAGTATCCAGACGGTGTTCGAACCAGACTCTGTTCGGCTCCGAGCATCGGTTCGTATTAGATTCCTTTGGTTTGGACGAACAGGCACCGCGGCCTGGGCCAAGTGCATCAACATCATGCAGCGACGTTATGGGCCATGATTTCAACTCGTACAAGCTACGCAGTAGCTCACCGAACACAGAGAGACTCCTGTACAGCAGTTTCGGCAACGCTCGGAGTGGTCGTATCTTTTCGAGCGAGGATGAGCCTACTGGCAGCTACGAGCTACGAAACACGGGGGGCGTAGAGCTTGTTCGGGTACGATCAAACAGCCCAGGGCTCCCCTGACGGAGCAGCAGAGGCAGGTGGGAAGATGCTCCCAACGACTTTCGTAGACATTGCATGTGGGAAAAGGAGACCAGACAGAAGGGGACGGGGTGAGACGAGACGAGGATTGTAGATTGAAGAGGGGACGAAGTGAGTGTGTGTGAGAGAGAGAGACGAGCAAGCGTTAGGGGTGGTGGTGGTGACGATGATGATGAGGGTGCCGTGGCGCCAGATATGCTCATGTGCGGCGTCTGACTTGTAGTGACTCAGTGAGCACTGCAGCATGACATGGAATGGCCGGCTGGGACTCATAGCTACTAGCTCTTAAAGTGATTCTTTACGTGGTGATGTTACCGCGCGCTGTTGCTAGCCTCTAGTGGTGCACCCCTCTCGGAGAATGGGCTCTATCCGCTCGCGGGTTGGAGTCAGTAACTCGATCAAGCCCCTCCTGGGACGAGGTTCTAGGAGTCTGACTCAAGTCATCTGGCGACACTGACGTCGTTGGAGTGTATTATCATCGCTGTCTGTCTGCCTGTCTGTCTGTTCGCCTGCCTGCCTGCTTGCTGCTTTTTTATTACAAGAGCTTTTTTCCTCCTCTCCGAACGCCATTCGTTCCCGGGCGGGTTTTTGGGGTCAATCCTCTGCCGCGAAATTTGCCTTTGAACTGGTGATCGTGTTCGGTTTGTGAGCTATGCGCATTGAAAGTGCTGGCGTTGGAGTTGCTGCATAGTGGGGGATCATTCCACAGTTCTGCTTTGACTTTCGTGGCTCGAGCTGTTTTCGCCACCTCGGTGTCGTTCTAAACAAGCCATTTCCTGGCCGGTCCTTGTCTGTTTAATGTAGCAGGGTCGTCGGCTGGAGCAGTGTAGTCCTGTCCTCGTGCAGATAGCTTGACTTCGTACCACTCTACTGCAGGTCTCATATTTTTTTTCCCTCTCAGGTACTCGTGATTTTCTCTAGAGTCGGTGAGTTCATTGCCGGCCGTGCCACTGAAAATAAATGCGTGTTCAAATAGGACCTATAAAACTTCAAACTGTTGAATGTTTGGTGAATCATCATTGTTGCTGAAGTGATCATTGTTTTTAGGTTGAAGCGTAGTTCGTTGATCCCGTTTCGTACGAGTTTTGAGAGCCTTCATCGCGAAACCGTGTCTCGGCCTAGAGGGCAGTGTACAACTCACAGTCGCTCTTTGCTACTGAATGTCTTGAATGCGGCATTGGATGGGATGCCTTTATATCTCTGGTTTTAGTAACTAGTGAACGAGTTTGCAAAATCTGGAATGTATTGGTTCTATCTTCGATCTTCTGTGTCCAAAAGCCAGAGCAACTTTCCATCAAAGTTGATGAAATATGGTCACCTCTGAAAATAGCATTATATCTGACAAAAGTTCGCAGAAAGCCGATCGGTCGAGGAATGTGATGCGCACAGAGGAATTTTTGGCAATACTTTGTTATTTCACCCTCCCTTGTCTCCCTCTCTAAGCAAAATTTTCTAGTTTAAATTCGGATTTACATATATTTCGAATTGTTTGCTGCAGTGGTGCTGTTGGCTGGAATGGTTTCGTCTTCGTGCGGATAAACACACCACATTGTGGCCAAGGCTGGTCTTGCCAGGGGAGTGAGCATTTTTGCCTCCAAGCAGGTGTGGTAGATACCCTTTTAGTATTATTCTCGCCCGTCCAACCCTTCGGCCGCCAATGTGCGGAGCCAGTGTGAGCGAAGAGGCAGCGGCAGAGATTCTAGAGTGTGGTCAGCGATGTCGGCAGGCATGCCCGGGTCTCCTCCACTTAGAATCTCACAGACGCGCGATCACGACCCAGAGTCTCCGTCGTTAGGAAAGCGACCAGGTCTGTGGCCAACCAGCAATAACGGCCAAAGCAACAACTCTCGCGCAACCATGGGTTCCTGGGCTCGCCGCACTGGCTTCAAGGGCATGGAACGAGGGACGAGCAATGGCAGCGATATTGAAATCAACCTATCCGACGGTACTCACATTCCAAAGAATCCCAAGTTTGTATCTGCCGAACAACCAACCCCCCCGAAAGACCTCGAGTCTGGAGCCGCGCCAAAGGGTGTCAGAGCTGGGGTGCAAGCCAACGGAACCAAGGAAGGCAACGAGAAAAGTGAAGGAGTCCCTTCGAAAGGAGCTACTCGGGGTGCACCTGGGCCCTTCAATCCCGCTAAGGCGAAGGCTATGGACTCAGACGCGAGTAGGAACAGCAGTGGTCAGCTGCGAATAGAACCCCTGCGAGTCTTCAAAGAACAGAACGACGATGTCATGTCTCAATCGGAAGGTGGCGAAGACCAGTATGTCATGTCGAAGCACGCGCACATGAAATACGAACTGCGGGAGACGCCAGGCCTCGGTAAGCACTCCCATGTCTTGCTTACAATCTTTATGAGTTTCGCAATGATAGCTACAACAGAAGAGGAAGCAAACCTTGAGGTTTGAGTGGTGCACAGAACTGACGAAGGAACACTTCTCGATCATATCGAAGTCTAAATGGCTGCCTTCGCCCACAATATAAGCCAGATCAATTGTCTGTTTTCTGAATGGGAGTGATGCAGCATGGGGATGTCCTGGTAAGAAACTGAAGAGGAGCTTTGTCAACTTTCGCTTCGTGATCCCGATTTCGAACTGAATTTCTGGATGTGTGTGCAGTTCCGTTGATCCTCTACGGCATTCAACATTACTTCTCCATTGTTGGTTCGCTCCTTTTGATTCCTCTCATTATTGTGCCTGCAATGGGCGGGACGCCTGTGAGCAACTCTTCCCCTCGATTCATACATTACCTGTACTTCGGCGTGCTTCCGAGATTCTGCTGTCTTCTATATTAGGAAACTGAAAGTCCACACTGGAACTGATATCCAGCTTTCAATTTTGACAGGAGGACTCAGCTAAAGTTGTGTCAAGCGTGTTAATGGTGTCTGGAATCTCTACTTTATTACATACGTCCTTCGGATCAAGGTTACCACTGATTCAGGGAGCGTCGTTTGTCTACCTCGCACCAGCACTTGCTATCATTTTCTCCCACGAATTTTCTAGCCTTACTGAAGACGTTAGTGACTTCTTATAAAAAATCAATTCCTAGTCATTTTAGTCGTTCTTGAGGTTCCTTCTTTCTTTTAAATATATATATATATATATATATATATATATATATAATTTTTAGCCTGGCTTTTAAGAGTTTTGTCGTTCCCAAATGTGCTTGTATAATGAGGAGTTTCTGAGGCGATTGTACCACTCACTAATCACTCTTGTGATTCTTTCGTGCATTCTGCAGAGGTTTAAGAAAACTATGAGGGAATTGCAAGGTGCTATTATCATTGGCTCCGCGTTCCAAGCTTTGTTGGGATACAGTGGAGCTATGTCACTCCTTCTGAGGTAATTAAGTATGCATCACCCTGCTCTGGTTTCGAACATGCTTGGTAGTAAATACTCCAGTTCACTATTTCTTATGAAATTCAAGAATCTGGAAGAGTCTCCAAAACGATTCTACTATTTTGCGAAGCATTTCTGTGTGTCTCTCTCTCTCTCTCTCTATATATATATATATGTGTGTGTGTGTGTGTGTGCCCGAGCTTTCTTCTTACTCAATGTACTCTCGTAAATATTGTACTAATTTTTAGTGATGAATTTATCGTCATCCACTTTAAACTCTTACTTGTGTGGCTCAGTCATGGAGTTCAAGTGCTGGGTGACATTAAAAGGCTGCTGTTCTGAATGCCTAAGTGCAGGGCAATCAATCCAGTCGTCGTAGCACCGACATTGGCAGCTGTAGGACTCGCCTTCTTTGCCTATGGATTTCCAGTTGTGGGCAGATGCGTGGAGATTGGCATCCCACAGATTCTATTACTAGTGCTCTTCGCTCTGGTAAGTTCCACCAGTTAGCCATATTAGTTTTGATATTTTCCTCTTCCCCTACTGGTATATCCCCGCTTGCCACCACAGTAACAAACCAGACCGATCAATGAAGATTTCTAGAGTTTTGGAGACTCTTCCAGACTGGATTTCTGAACACCTGCTGAGCACATTTGGACTCTTGGCTTAGATGGTACAGCGACTGGATTTTTTTTGAGGTACTGAATTTTCAGAATGCAATTAGTTTGAGACCATTGCCCGTGTCTTTTCAGTATCTCCGCAAGATTACTATCTTCGACCATCGAATTTTCCAAGTGTATGCTGTAAGTCACACTTCTTCATGATGATTCTTCCCTTCTTCATTTTGCTGATTAATCTGAAAAAATCGAAGTGTTACCTGACTTATCATCCGGAGTGAGCATGCCGAAACCGAGCCTTCCTGGTTTGACTTGCAACCTTGGCCAAACAGGTACCGCTGGGACTGGCATTGACATGGGCATTTGCTTTCCTGCTAACGGAGTCCAAAGTGTACACTTACTCGGGATGTAGCTTCAGCCAACAAGGAAACATGACAGCAGTGCTTACGCCCAAGTGCCAAGAGAAAATGGCAACAATGCGCAGTTGTCGAACAGACGTATCGAATGCCCTCTCCACCTCAGCATGGTTCCGTTTCCCGTATCCATTTCAATGGGGAGTTCCCACGTTTCATTGGCAAACGGCAGCGGTGATGATGGTAGCATCAGTAATTGCTTCAGTTGACTCGGTAAGTCTTGTCTCCCCTATTGAAGGGCTCTCGTTTACATTGCTAATTAGAATCCTAACTGTGGTCTCCTTGACTCTGTTAGTAATCACTGAAAACACCTTACGGAAACAGAGCATGAACCATGTTTTTTGCAGGTAGGCGCTTACCATGCCTCCTCTCTCCTGGTGGCGTCAAGAGCGCCTACACCAGGAGTGGTGAGTCGGAGCATAGGATTGGAGGGGTTAACAAGCATCTTAGCAGGGATTTGGGGAATTGGTACAGGGGCAACTACCTTGACCGAGAATGTGCACACCATTGCAGTCACCAAGATGGGGAGTCGTCGTCCTGTGGAATTTGGTGCTTGCATCCTGATTGCTGCATCACTTATTGGTGAGAAGCTTCTTATAAAAACCAGCTTTCGATTGGATAAATATACCGGAATATTGTTTGCTGTCAAAAACACGCTTTCAATGTCAAATCACAGTAGGTATGATCAAGCAATCTCGCTCGGGCTTTTGGTGAACTTCTGTTGACCAAACGTGGTTCTGATGTGACAATGATGGGATGTTCAGGAAAAATTTCAGGGTTTATTGCATCGATACCGCAGGTTATAGTGGCAGGGCTTCTGGTGTTCATGTGGACAATGCTAGCTGCCATGGGTTTCTCCACCTTGCGCTACAGTGAAACTGGTAGCTCTCGAAACGTGTTAATTGTGGGGTTATCCCTATTCTTGTCACTGTCTATACCATCTTACTTCCAGCAGTACGACAGCGATACAAGCTCCATACTGCCCATCTATTTCCAGCCCTACAATGTTGATGATCACGGTCCTTTCCAAACCAGTAACAAGCAGGTAAGCTTCTGTTGTTTATCATCGGCCTTCCCAGGCATCATCTGATGATGGAATTCTTCAAATAGAACTAGCTCAATCAAGGATTCATTGCCGCTGATGGTCAAGTGATGTGTTGTGGCAGGCCAACTTTGCGCTCAACACCATCTTCTCTCTTCACATGGTGGTTGCGTTTTTAGTGGCATTTGTTTTGGATAACACGGTTCCAGGCAGCCGACAGGAGCGTGGCCTATACGTCTGGAGCAGAGGAAGGACTGCTCGAAATGAGCCTGCAGTGGTGAAAGATTATGGGTTGCCATTCGGATTGAGTAGATACTTCAGCTGGGTTAGATGGGTAGGCTTATAATGTTGGAAGAATATTAACGCTTATCATAAGAGGAATTATCTGGTGAATTGGTTTACGTACATGGGTTTGTGGAAGAGCCTCAGTATCTCATGAAGTGCATCGCCCTGCTTCCTGTCAGATACAGTACAGAAATTTCCCACCCGTATTTTGGAATTGAGCGAAGTGAGGGTAGACCACAATGCTAAAAGAGTAGAGGTCGCTTCCTTCGTAATAAGTTATCAATATCATTGATCAGTTGGCTTGTTATGCGACTTGACAAGCGGCACTTGAAATGCTCCGGCTGCTTGTGCACTTGTGCAAGCTACCCTGTTGAGCTTCTTTCTGCACTAAGGTTGGTGTCACCGTGACGATGACCTCCACCTCGAGTTCTATCTTCTGTGTGAGGGGCTCTCACTAATATGTATTTCTGATAGTTTTGATTATCTCATGATGCATTTAGTTTTATTGACGAACTCGAAGGAACGATGGAATGGATCAATACTCAATTGCTGTAAGGCACACCATTACCACTAATTTCTAGTTCATAAGAGTGCACGCATGAAATGGATATATACATATACATCGAAGTTTTTACACCACATACCAAATCGGCAACCAAGAGGCCACTAATTGTTTGCAAATTTGCTGGATATTCGTTCAGAGTAGAGCTTCGCGGGTACCAATTATAGAGATGAGAATCGAGTGACCACGGAAAGGCTGTTATTCTAGCTTGTATTCTAGCTGTCATACAAGTACTTCTGCCCCATTGACCTTCTGAGTTACATCGCCGCTGAAACTGAATCCTTTGCAATTTGCACTAGATCTACTAGATCATTTGCAATGCTTGAATCTTGAAAATATGGAGGCATTAAAAAGCTTATTATAAGAGGAAAATTATTGCCCCTCTCATTCTAAAGAATAACGAACACATCCACGATTTGAGGTTTGGTATTTAAAGCACTATCGGACATTTTAAAATGACTGGTTAACATCAATATTAATGCTCTCAGCTGAGGTTTGTGATTCACAAAAATGGTCTGAAATGGCATTTCAGAGCTGAAGTAATCAACATTGAGCAGAGGAGAATGAGCCAAGATGCAGAAGATGGTAGCTAAATACATGATCTAGATTTATTTTATTTTATTTTATTTTATTTTTCTAAGTCCTAGCTAATGAAGTGCAAGCGGCTTTTATTGCAACAATTGCCTCTCTATCACAAATTCTCTCTATCTATCTGTACTATCATTCAAACAGGTCTTACACACTACCCTCTGAGATTCAGACGCTCTAAACCTGAGGGCACATGTGGATAAGACCCTGTGATATCCATGCCATTGTAAATAAACGGATCGGCGAACATCCAGCGATCATCGGATCGCAACAGCTGCAAGACGGATTGGTATAAGTTAGACTTCTCTGAGTACAATTTTCTAACTAGATGTATTTTCAATAGAAGTATTATACTTCGATTTAAATGCATGAGAACCCTGTAATCGTACCTCCAGTTGGAACTCCAAAAATTTGACAAAGTGAATGGCTTCTTCCAGCATGGTCACAATGTCGACCTGCGTCAACCAGACCACGAAATGTTAGAACATGACAGTGCCGACAAATTCTTCGAAACTTAGATTTGACGTCGTAGTTGAACGAAAAGAACAGGACCGTAGGAAACATGTCCATGGCTACACATGGTCTACTGCTTCTACGATCACTAACCTGTTCTCCGTTAGGAACCAACCGCTGCAATGTCTTTAGGCGCTCGTTAATCTTCTCCCGGCGATGCTGCAACCAAACAGCACCACTTGGCGAGTATGTAAAAATCGGACATATAAGCAACAGGTTGCGTGATTCCGGGCAGGATCTAAGACGAGCAGCTGGTATTGGTATAGTGAAGTACATGTGAAATAGTTATAGAGGAGAGCTTGTCCTCGGAGATTTCGTAAAGACGTGAATTGAGAACCCAGCAACTTCGACAGCGACTTTCATTGACTTAACACTTGTGTCATTTATACCAATCGTGGATTAGCAGTAAGTGTTTGATCTGCTGACTTACCCTTGCGTACACACTCTGAGGATCAGTAGCTGACCCGCGCTTTGCTCGTGGTCTTCCATTGGTGTTCAATGCAGGACCGACCGCAATTATATCCATCGCCTGGGATGGGGTTCCTAGCAAATGCCGACACTGTAACTTGGATTTGGTCGTCCTCGACTGTGTCGTGTCGTAAGGACTCCAAGCTAATCCAGCTTCCTGATTGCCCTGAGAAAAAATTGGGCATCTCTGAGGCTACTAGAGGTGAAACAAAGTAAGAATCAATGAACTCAGAACGGCAGTTCAGCTTTTGTGCAATTCTCGTTGCACTAGACATACCAATATGTTCGGTCGCCTTGAAGGCGACATGCTCGATCTGTCCATTGCAAATCGATAGCTGTTCTTACGAGATTGCTCTACGCGTGCTGAATAGCCACTGGCAGTTGAAGCCGGCTGAAAAGCCAATAGTCTCTCCTGAGCTTTTTGCACAAAATTCAGATCCAGGTCGTTGCCGGTTAAGCCACGAGTGGAATTGGTCTCGTTAGAAAAGTTTGTCTTCGACTGCTGCAACTGCGAATTACTGACGAAAGATGGTCCTGCTGTAGCATATTTGAGAACCTGTGCGATAGGCGACATTGGCAGAAAACTTCCATTTGGATCCATACACTTTTCATAGTGGCTGGAGGCAGTTGGTTCATGTCCGCGGACAAAAGCGAAATCTTCTGATCGACTGATTGCTTTCCCTTTACGATTAGAACCGAGAATTTCACTTTGGTTGCCGTGAGATTGATTACTGACAACAGAAAGTGAGTAATTGCTATTGGAAAGTAGATCTGTCTTGGCTAACTTCTGCGAATTATTATACTTGATCTGACCATTGTTCCATGCATTCTCCGAGGCGCTGGCTCGTAGCAACTGGATTGTCGTGCTGCTGGTCTTTCCGAGCCATGTTGAGCGAAGTTGAGCTCCGTCAGTGTCTTCGTCACCTGAGGAATTTGTCAACGTATCGTGAAACGCAAGAGGAGAAGAAGGAGACCGATCAACTCTTAGACCTTGCCAGGCATGAAAAGGTGCATAGGTTTTCGCATAGTGGAGAAAATCCTCACGTCTGCTCTTATCAAAATGAGGGTGATTATTTGGCACGGGACTCGGGATACTGTTCAAATACAACGGCTTCGAATTGTGCTGCATGCACAACTCTTCGAAAGATGCTTCAGGTAGAGTCTCCAATCGTTCTTGCATGAACTCTAGAGATAGAGTCTCAGCAGCAATATCAGGGATATGCTGCGAGAAAGTGTTGAAACTTGGAATCCAGTGGTTCGATAGCAAACCGGAATCTTGAAAGGACAGGCGGGTGTTCGGAAGCGTGGGCACGACCTCTGGAAGCTTGAACGCGCTGGTGGAGCTTGAGGATCCTTCCCCATTGGTGGATGCTTGTGAGACCCACCCCTCCAGCCACACCATCCCTTCGCACGAACTCACTTTCGGCGGGTGCATAGAAGCAGAGATCGTCTCATATGCTGACGGTGATGCCGAATCTGCGCTTAATTTTTGATAGTTTCCCATTGCTGGCTATTTCTTCCCAACGGATGACTGCTTTAATCAAGGCTGCCCGAATCACCTGGATGAACATTGAAGTAAGCATATTCAATTTTACAAAGTTTGACAAAAATATTAAACTAGACGAGCTGAAGATCCCGCCTAGTTCAACTACAATAACTCACCAGACAGCACCCAGAAGTAGAAGTTCAAAAGTTTCCTCCTATGAAATTATATCTTCCAGCAAGGCTGCGGTGCTGCTACCCTCACCCCTGAGAACCAAAAATATGCACTCTCCTAGTAAGGTGACTGTCAACATTACGTATTGAATATGCATGAGAGCATCGAAATATGAGTAACACAGACACCCAATACCTCAAGGTCTGTGCCTTTTATGCTCACTACAGCTTACAGATGTGCTACACACAACTCTGAAACTCTTCAGAGTTCTTAAGTGATGGTTTTAAAAAGTAAGTCCAGCTTCAGACGTTAAACATCATTGCCCTGATTCTGTTCAAAAAGAATATGGTCTGCTATGAATATTACACTGGTCAAAATCAAAGGGGGCAGATATTCATTCAACTCTCTCAAAAGAAGCTAGAGATGCGTACTATTTTATGCACCAGCCGAAAACCATGTATATTAAGCGTGGTCGTTTGTAACGATTTTGAACAAACTTGTTACAGAAAAAAATTACCAATCTTTGCTCAGCATGAACCGCATGAGCTCCTACACTCAACTCTGGAAGGCTTACCGGCTTCTCTGTGCCCTCTTGTAGATTTATGGCACCGTTTCATCCCACCGCATGACTTTCAAGCGGAGAAATTTGGCTCATGACTTGACTAAATCATGAACACATCCAAAACTTAGAATCAGAGGAAAAGTTCGCAGCTGCGGATAGCCTCAGGTACGAGCCTCATGTTTCATTGACACGATGTCATCTCCCGAATCAGCAACCGTGCGGACAAACGTAAACACGAAAGTGTATCAAAATGATGAAAACATCACAAGAAACCGCCTGCTGATCACCCCACATTCGCAAAGCCACAAGAAACGTAGCAAAGACCGCCGTGTCACTGCAATGCCACTGGACTGTGCATGCATCCTCAGACGCTCTACTTCCGACCTGATCAAAGCTGGAGACTGCTCTCAGTAGAAAAGGCCTACCGATTAATCCAGTGGACTGGACCATTCAGGTAATGAATTATTGTTTTATGGAATCGACGTCTACAACCTGGCAAGAGACGGAATTGGATATTTAAATAGCAGTTGTGGTACTTCAACATGAAACAAGGCTTGAAACTGAAGAAAGCCGTTCGTAAAATTTCAACTGAAGAAACTGGACTAATCTTCTTGTAGGTAGGCAATCTATAACATCACACGCCTCTTCTGAAGCCAGCAGACAAACTGTAGGCAGTCGAAACAACTATTTGAAAGAGGAGATTTTTCCATCATGAGCAGCACGCTCCACCTGTGCTGCGTCGAAGACTTCAACTGATGCGTCACCATTAATGACTGTGGTACCACATTAGTGGGTACCGAAGTGGATCCAGACGATACTTTCTCCGTCTGCTGCTGCTTCTTCTTCTCCTTCTTCTTCATCAACTTCCCAAACGACTCAAAGCAATCTAAAACGTGTCGGGGATACCATAACGCATGAGAGAGAGGGCATGCGGGTTGCAGGCACAGGCAGGAAAGTGCACCTTCCTCGATGCGGGGTAGGTCGGTGGGGGTCAAGATGAGATTGGCGGATTGGGCGGACTGCGGGGTAAGAAGGGAGCAGGACGTGGAGGCTATAAAAAGGCAGTCCCTCGTCTCGCTGCAAGTCGTAGGCTGCGGCAGCTGTGACGTCGTGGCTCTGGACCTCTCCAGATCACATTCAATGCCGCGAGGGCCGTGCC